AGGGAGGAATGGTAGCAAAGCAGGCCATCACCAGTCAGATCACCATAGCCCTGCAAGCAAAAATGAGCATAATTACGGTTTAAAGATAGTAGCTATCTTTAGCTTACTTGTTTCCCTATTGCAGCTGACCACAGATGGCTGTGAAGTCTCTCCTCTTTTGTCCTGACTGCCTCTGTGTGATACCTAGTGATACTTCCTGGATGCAGTTCTGTGCATCATTAGAATGGCTTGGTGTGGGTGTGTGTGGTGTGGTGGGAAGAAGATTCCTTCTAGTCTGACAGCAGTTACTTGAGAAAGACTCATTAGAGTAGGTGGTTGTTGTATTGACATGTTCTCCAGAAGTATTCCTGAAATAATTCTACGGCCTGCAGTGCAGGAAGTGTGGCTGGCAGCCGCCTGATGGATGGACATGTTCTCATCTTGCTTGTAGAGCTTCCCGCTCTTCCCTTCATGCACATGTGCGGTGGCCTTAGGGCCAGCCAAGACATTAAGTGAAAGTAAGCAACACCTGGTGCTGTGCAAATACCATCATCCCTCAAATTACTTCTCCCAGGAAAAAATGATTCCTGCATGGATGCAGCAGCTGGGACTCTCCAGTAGGGCTTTCTATGAGAGAATATAGACCCACAAGGTATAGAACTCCCCCAAAGCCCTGCTGCATCAGCGGCTAAGCATAACATGTGGAAGGGAGGCTGACTGAGCTGCTTATTGATGCTGCTTAAAAACCAAACTAGCTTAATTTAGAATTTTCTCATTTATTGTGGGGAAAAAACCAAAACCACCTGCTCTTTTGTAAATATGGAGATGTAGAATGGTAGGGTAATTGAGATGAGCAAGATGACATGTTAAGGGCCTTGAGCTTTGCTCTTCAACCCTCAGGACCGAGACTATCTGAGCACAGAGAGTTCTTAGCTCTAACATGGCTTATTTGTGGTTCTAAGTTTAAACTTTGCAAACAGTGTTATAGGTAAAAATGTGTAGATGAGATTTGTGCCTTGCTAGCCTGTTTGTGAATTGCAAACAATTGTCAGTCAATAAATTAATCAATTAACAGTGCCTGTTATGTGCCTGATTCTGTGCTGTATACTGACAATACAAATACAAAAGAGAGACACCCTAACCTATATCAAATTGCTTACTGTCACAGTGATTGGGGAGGTGAGGGAGGGAGAGAGAAAATTTGGAACTCAAAATTTAAAATAATGAATATTAAAAATTGTCTTTACATGTAACTGGGGAAAAATAAAATTTTATTTTAAAAAACCCTCAAAAACAGAAAAGAGACAATCCCCATTTTCAAATAACATAGATTTTACTGGGAGTATTCTGCAATGGAGTCCCAGGAAGAAAACACAGGATATACACATATAGTCGGAATATGGCATTGACTCTCAAGTGTTTCCAGTATCTCTCTATTTCTGGTCTGGGACTAGCTTTACCTACTTCAGCAGGTAGGAAAGCCATGTAGCCACTACTGTAACCCTTAGGGTCCTATGTGAGTGACTATCTCTGCCAATATCACAGCTCATTAGCCTCTACCAGAGTATGTACCAGTTACACATCAGCCACCTATAATCTTAATGAAAACATTTATTGAAAGTACAAGGCAGGGGGCAGCCAGGTGGCACAATGGATAGAGTACCGACCCTGAAGTCAGAAGGACCTGAGTTCAAATCAGCCTCAGACCAAACACTTAACACTTACTAGCTGCGTGACCCCGGGCAAGTCACTTAACCCCAATTGCCAAAAAAAAACAAAAAACAAACAAAAAAAAGAAAACGCAAGGCAAACATAGGTCTTTTATATAACTGTCTACCCAATTATATGCTCCATTAATGTACAAGAGCTATGGGGAAAATAGGCACACATCTAAAGTCACAGGACAGAAGAGTACACAGTTTGGGAATTCATGCGGCCAATGAAATTCACATCTCTGAAACTGTAGACTTTGATAGCCTGTTTCCATCTTAGTAACTGTCCATAGAAATTCCATGATATGCATAGAGTCTGTACTGAGCAGATGCTTCTCTTGTTAAGCTGTGATCATCTATGATGTGCTTGACTAACACCTTACTAGGCATGACATTTCAACTGCACTAGCCAATTCACTGGCCAGCTTTTTTAATTCTTGGCTCCCAAGCTTCTAAGCTCCGTTCCTCAGTTCAGCTGGACTTACCCAACAACAGCAACTTCAGTATACGTCACTTCCAGCTTCAAACTTAGATGATGCCTTTAACAATAGGAAATATGTACAAAAATAGAAATTCGAAAGGATGAAATAAAGATGAAATAAATTATTGATAATGTAATTTTTATTTTTGATTGTTACCAAAGCAACATAATATTCTTTTACAAAAAAGCGTATTTATCTCATCCTTTTTAGTCTTGATCTTCTGGACAGCCACATACAGCTTTAACTTTAGCCCTTCAGCTGCAAAATCTTTCTGGCCGTGGGCAACTAGTACTTAACTTGTGCATTCAGACTGTTGAACTCATGAGGTTTTCTGTCAAGACTAGAAACAGTTATCTTTCAGGATTGCTGTTCAGTGACCTGTGCTCAGGGAAAGAAACATAAAGCAGAAGAGACAATCCGTACCTTGGGTCCCAATCTCAGGTTCATCTAGACAAATGCATATTCTGCCATGGGCTCTTCTAATCATGATAGTGACTGTGAGGAGGGGAAGGAACAGAAATCCCCTCCACTGAACAGGATAGTCTGGCACCACAAAGGAAAGCTGATATGCTGAAAAGAGGGAAAGAGACAGAGGTAGACACTTTGTTCTTTCTTTTTAAACTGAGTGGTAAGCTTTTCTTAGCTCAGACAACAATCATCTTTAATGCAGCCTCAAAATCCTGGGGGCCAGCAGGGGACTATTATGTCATCTCAAAGCGCAAGCAGCTGAGTCAGATCACGAATTTCTACCCATTGAGTCAGATCACGAATTTCTACCCATTGAATCAGAGTGGCCATGCTCAGCTGTACGGAAGGTGCCCCAGCTGAGCAGATCAGAAAGGCTCCCCTTATTACCGCTCTTGTGTATATCTAGTACTTCATGTACATTATCTCATTTGGTTTCCACAATAAGCCTGTGAGATTGGTACTGCAGGTATTATCAATTGTATAAACACAGGATAACATAATGTAATAGTCTCCTAACTTTTTTAGTTGCATATGTCTATCAGTTAAACATTTTTGAGCATGAACTCTTGATGTATGGATATTTAAAAATTATATGTATTACTGTGTTAACATATACATACAAAACATAAAACTAGAAATTAAAAAGGATGAGATAAAGATAACTATGTAGGCAGCTAGGTAGTATAATGGATAGAGCACTAGGCCTGGAATCAGGAAAAGTCATCTCCTTGAAATCTGGCCTCAGTAACCCTTACTAGCTGAGTGACCCTGTGACCCTGGGCAGGTTACTTAACCCTGTTTGCCTCAATTTCCTCATCTGTAAAATGAACTGGAGAAGGAAATGGCAAACCACTCCAGTATCTGCACTAAATAGGGTCATGAAGAGTCCGACACATGTTTTTTGGCAATGCAACTTAAATTTTAAGTGTTTTGTTAAGTTTTTATCACTTCATGCTATTTTCAGCTAATTTGTTATTGTTTGGTCATGACCGACTCTTTGTCAGACACAATACACACACACACACACACACACACACACAAACACAATACATGTATATGCATATGTGTGTATGTATGCATCTGTATATATACATATATGTACATATATATATATATTTAGCTAATAGCTACTATATGTGTAAAGGCAGGGCTTACTGCTAATGATAGTGAATATAAATCCATATTTCAAATAACGTTCTAGTTAATTTACCATTTGTTGCCTAAACCTGTCGGATTTGATTAGGTTGTCATTGTTTTTAACCTTGAAATGTGGCTGATGAAGAACTTATACTGGAAGTAGAAAAAGAGTAGTCTCAGCTATTTCTGCTGGTGTTCATCTGTGTTTCTGTATCAGTATTATTTTCAGCCTACAGTTTTTGAAGTCTTGTCTGTTTTGCAAGGGTTACTTTAGTCACAGCTAGACAATCTGATTTACAAATCTACTTAGCTAGACATGCATGAACTTCAGGATGTCACAACATGCTGGGTAAATAAACCAGTCATTCTTTTTTGGGTTGTTGCTTTCTTCCTTCTATCAGGACACGTTCCCTGCCATTTGTGATATGTGACTCACACACAGACCTGATGAGGGCATCAGTGTCAACTCATACAATAAATGTTCCTAAAGCTCAAATTCTTTCTTTTTAAGTTATTCAATGTATGTAGAAATTCTAATATTGTCTTTCAATACCCCAATGGATCTTGTGCAGCTTGCTTTAGAGATCCAGGCATAAGCAAAAGCCCTATCCTTGAATCTTGGGTTCAAATTCCAGCTCTTACTATATACAGGCTGTGTGACCCCAGGGCAAGTAACTTGACCTCTCAGTGTCCTAGGCATTGCTATAAGACTATAGGTTGCAGAGTGTCCAAGGTTCTTTCCACTACTCTAGGCTGTTTTCATTTCCATATTTACATGTGAAAAGGAGATGCTAATAGACATAAGGCTTTAATCCAAAGGAATAGATTTTTGCAGAGGAATTCTATTCCTTTGGCGATTTCAGACAGTCTGGAAGACCAGTGCGGAAAAGATCAGGGTAGGGTTAGGGGTCAGGGAAGTGTTAGCTCGACACCTGCCTAATCACCCTGATTACTGGATTATTGTCTGCCTCTACTCTATGCTGTGTGCTTAATAAACCCTATATCATTCTCTCTCCCTCTCTCTCTCTCCCTTTATATCCTTCCCTCTTTCTCTCTCTCCCCCTCCCTCTTTTTCTCTCCCTCTCTCCCTCTTTCTTTCTCTCATTTTTTTTTTCTCCAAGGATAGCCTGCCATAGCCAGTAAAAGGCTGTTCCTGGAAGCAAAAAGACCTGGGTTCCAAGCTCTCTCCATGATACATTCTAACTGTGTAACTCTGGGTTACACCTAATCTCACAAGGTGAGACAAATAGACAAATGGTTGCTCCTTATTGATGGAGGAAGTTTCCATATTGAGAGTTCCCTAGAGGGCTAGAATAACAGGTTCATGCCCTTACCCTCCCGGGGAGTTGCTATACTTACCTCTTTCTTATTTCACACGTGAATGGGAACAATATAAGATACTTTGCTTTTTCTAAGAAGAAAAACAAATAACACATGATATACAGGAATTTGTCTATTAAGTTTATGCAGTTGGAAAGTACAGGGTGACTCAGAGACTGGACAAAGGGAAAAACCGTACAGGGAAGTTTTTACCAACAAGCGTAGTTTACACACTCTCAATATGGAAAGTTTTAGCTTCCTTTTCTGAATCTCTGTGGTTCTCAAAATCTCTTGGGTGAGTGCACAGAAAGCTGATGAACTTTTACTCCTTACTGCTTGGCTTTGGGGGGTTGGTTAATGGTGGGGTTCATGTGTGGGGAGGCATGTTGGGCAGGGAGATGGGCTAACAACAGATGCCTCATTGATACATTGAAATGAGTGTAACATGAAGGGTTTGGCAGGAGTTGCCTTTCTGGATGACTGAAAGTAGAGAAGAAAACTTTGGAAAATGTTTATTTACTTCCTTGCTCCAGAATTACAGTAGCCAGGGCAGTCAAGTGGCATAGTAGATAGAACACTGGCTCTAGAATCAGGAGTTCAAATCCAGCCTCAGATGGTTACTAAGCTATGTGACCCTGGGCAAGTCACTTAACCCCAAGTGCCTCCAAAAAAAAAAATTAGAGCAGCCAACATGCTGACCCTCAGGGCAATGGTGTGAGAACCTTTGAAAGCTGAGGTCCAGAAGGTCATTCCTTTGACCTAGATGAACCCAGTTGGACAAAGGATCATAGATTTAAAGCTGTAAGGAACCGACTAATCTCATTGTACCGATGAGGAAACAGAGGCCCAGAAAGATTAAGTGCATCATCCAAAGTCAGGGAGATGGTGAGAGGCAGAGCAGAATTTAAGCCCAGAGTCTCTGACTTCAAATCCAACCCTATTTCCCTTGTACCATCCTACGAGAGACAGGCTGGGGCATCAGGACAAGCAGTTGTGGCAAAGTACCTTTACTGCTGGCTGTCTCTCCCCTTTTATAAGGTTCCTACCATGCTTCCGTTCACAGAGTTGTTGACTAACCTAAGAAATGGTAGGTGGGGACAGGCAGGGGTAGCATTCCTGGGTTCTATGCTAGTCATCTCAGAAAATAATAATAAAAAAAGCTTGAGTTATAATTTATGGCTTACAAAGAGGTTTGTTCATAACAATCCTCTGAAGTAGGTAACTGTTGAACCCATTTTACAGATGAAGAAACTGAGGCTCTAACAGGTTAAGTGACTTGCCCAGGACCGTACTAGGAGAGAGCACATGAGGAAGCTAGGTGGCACAGTGGATAGAGTGGAGTCAGGAAGATTCATCTTCCTGAGTTCAAATCTGGCCTCAGACACTCACTAGCTGAGTGACCCTGGACAAGTCACTTAATCTTGTTTGCCTCAGTTTCTTCATCTGTAAAATGAGCTGGAGAAAAAAAAATGGCCAACCACTTTACTATCTTTGCCATGAAAACCCCAAATGGGGGTCACAAAGGTCAGACACAACTGAACGACAAAAATATGAGGCAGGGTTCCTTCCAAAAAGGCTCCTGACACCAAATCAAGCATTTTATCCACTTTGGCTTTTCAACTCACATAACTGAGTAGTGTCCAGATGAATTGTCACAATTCAGTTCAAAAGCACGTGTGGAACATCTAACTTTTTTGTATATTATAAAATACATGTTTTAAGCTGAGCACAAAAATTCCTAATAGCATTTTACCACACAGTGTAATCCATCGCTGAACAATTCCTTAACTTATTAAGAATGAAAGTGATCAAAATCACTCAACAAGCTGTTTATCAAGCATCTCCAAGGTGCCAGGCATCATGCTAGAAGCTGGGGATTTAAAGATGAAACAAAGATGAAACAATCCCTGCTCTCAAGGAACTTACAGAATGATAACACATAAATAAACAAATAAGTAAATGAACAAAATAATGGCATGGTAAATGGGGGTGCGGAGGAGATAACTAAGTATATATAAAATCCATGTAAAATACAAGGTTAATTTTTTTTTGGGGGGTGGGAGAACTTGCAGTTGTGGAGATCAGGAAAAGCTTTGTGAAGTAGGTGTCCTTTTAGTACAGTTTTGAAGGAAATAACGAATTCCAAGAGGCAGAAAGGGAAGGGAACAAGCCTTTATTAAGCACCTACTATGTTCCCGGCCCTGTGCTAGCTGTCAGGCACTTTACAAATCTTATTTCATTTAATCCTCACAACAACGTTGGGAGGTAGGTGCTATTATAATCCCCATTTTACGTGTGAGTAAACGGAAGTGCAGTGATGTGTCCAGGGTCACATAAATAGTAAATAGCTGAGACCAAATTGGAACTCAGGTCTTTCTGACTCTAGTCCTGTACATCACCTAACTGCCTCTAGTGCACGAGAGAAAACCAGTGCAAATGTACACAAGTTGAAGATGGAGTGCGATGCAAGAGGAACAGGCTAGGTAGTCATTGGAGGTTATTGAACATGGAAGTGACATGGTTCACCCATGCTTCAGAAAAATCACTTTGGTAGTTGTATGAAGGATGGATTGCAGAAGGGAAAGATTTGGGGAAACAAATGAACATTCCTTTTCAATATGCTTTTCTCTGGCCTGTGACCATGCTTTAAAATGTCTAATTTTCCAAAGACATCAATGGTGTCTACTTGCATGCTGAATGGTGAATGGCATGAGGGGCGAGTGCGGGAAGAAGGGAGATAAGGCTCTCTATTGAGGACAGGGCATAAGGCAGCCTTGCAAGAGAAGTAAACCTTAACACAAATACCTGACATAGAAACCTCTGAGAGACAGATATTACCCCAATGACTTTAATGTAGTGATTATGTGCAATCATAAGTATTTTCTTAGATAAAAAGGTTCAGGAGAATGGAGATGACAGCTTGTGATTTCAGGACAAATAAATACAACTTTCTCTTGTAATCATTTCACTCCTTTTTCTTTCTAAAAAAAAAAAATAAGATAAATCCATGAGTTCACTGGTAAATGCCAGAGGGCTTCTTCCCAATCGGGGCCTCCCCAAATTCAATCAACCTTAGTAACATTACACTTAATAAAATTCAGACTGACATTCACATTTTTGTTGTTCGATCATTTTTTCAGTTGTGCGTGATTCTTTGTTATCTCTTTCTGGGTTTTCTTGGCAAAGATACTGGAGTGGTTTGTCATTTCCTTCTCCAGATCATTTCACAGATAAGGAAACTGAGACAAACAAGGTTAAGTGACTTGCCTAGGGTCATACGGCTAATAAGTGTTTCAGATTGGATTTGAACTCAGGAAGATGACTCCAGGCCCAGCACTTTAACCACTTTGCCACCTAGGTACCCCCAACATTTACACAGGATGTGACTTTAAATATCTGTTTTAACCCCACCCTGACTAAAGTCCTACTCCTCTGCTCCATTGTAGGGTGTTAGTGACCTGTGGGTTCTTAGAGGCTATGCTGAGGCTGCACAGGCTGTAGCTGGTCCTGCCAACCTAGAAAGGCTTTGACTGTGGACCTGCTGATGAACTTGCATGGCTGTTGTCAGAAGACTAGTCAGGCTAAGTTCATAGGGGCCCATCACCAGCTCAGCCACAGGGTGATGAACTGGGGAACGACAGTAACTCCACTGTGACCCTGATGGACGCTACCATGGGGAATCTGTGTGAGTGGATCCAGAAGACATGTTGATAAAATCACAGATCCTATTGAAGTATCTGAAATGGACCTAACCGTGATCTGGACCTGTGGTTTCATTTGCTGTTGGGGATTCTAGGTGAAAAAACTCTTATTGATGCAGATTAGCAACTGTTCAGCAATTCAGAGACTTCAGAAAGCTGCCAGAGTCAGTGAGAGGTTAGGTGACTTGCCCAGGGTCACACAGTCAGCCTAAGTCAGAAGCAAGACCTTCAATACTTCCTCTAGACTCTGAGTACAGCTCTCTACCTACCCACATGGTGTGCCATTTAAAAATGAAATATGTATATTTGTGGTTCATATGCTAAAGAATTATAGCAGATAGCACTGAAGGTGCTGGTCCTCAGGGCAGTTGTTTGAGGATCCTCGAAAGCTTAGTTACAGAAGGCACACATAGGTACAGTTAATGTATGCTGAAAATATACTCTTTTTACTAGATAAAGGAGACAGCCCAGGTGAGGAACTGGAGGAAACAGATTTCTTTCTAGGGCATTAGGGACTCAGGTCAGGATATCTGGAATATTAAGATGTTCCTTAAAGTAAGTACAAGGACTCCCACAGGCTAAGGAGGAGTGCTTCACTGAGGCACATCTGCGACCCTAGGTTCTAGAAGGCAAGTCACCTGAGGGCATGCATACTGTCAGATCCTATCAAGCTGGAAAGTGGGTTGGCTCAGTCTATCCCCTCAGAACCAGTCCAAGTTCATTAAGTTCATTAGGCATCATCTCCAGAGGGGGGCCACCTGGTGATGATTTCTTTCTCATAGTCAAAGCATGTCCTGAAGACGAGGAGGGGTTATGATATGCTCCTCTTGAAGGAGTTCCCACCCTGCTGAAATCCTGGATCCTTTAAGCAGAAAATGAAAAATAATTTTTTTCCCCTGGAGTAGTTCAGGTGGCAGTAGCTAATGGTTGGTGGGTTCTTCTGGAAATCAGAGAAGGAAGGGGCTCCCTGCACTTACTTTCCGAGGCTCCCCTCCACCCCAATACGCCCAGCTCTCTAGAGCCAGGGCGGCTGGCAGAGAACCGGGTGGGAGAGGGGGTGCAGTGTACCTTGGGGGCTCACAGAACAGATGGTACTGCCTCTAGACGGGGAAGCAACCTATTTGAAAGGGAAGAGAAAGTGAAAGGCGGGGAAGAGGGAAAGGACAGCAGGGGGTGGAGCTGTCCACGCAGTTGGGGGGGGCGGAAGGGGGGGATGCCCCGGAGTGGCGCAATATCTTGGGGGGAGGGACTGGTCCCCTTCGTCTCTTGGCAGGGGGATTCCCTAAAGCTCAAGGGGACAAGAGGGTGACGACACAGGGGAAGCCCCAGGGCTGGCTAGAGAAGGTTGAGGCCGCGGGCGGAGCAAGCCAGATTGTGAGATTTGGCGTCCTGGGAGGCAGAGCTTCAAACAGACAGCTACTCCACTGCGTCTCTGCGCTCAGCCGTGGCCAGCCCCGCTCCCCAAGCCATGTGCCTGCTGCAGCTCCTCATCCTGAGCAGCGGTAAGTGCCAGAAAACGACCCCGAGCTCCCTTCCCTCGGGCTCTTGGGGGGTGGGAGGAGGTGGGGAAGGGCTCCACCACATTTAATTCTCCTCTCTCTACCTTTCCTCACTGCGCCCCATCCATCCTCCCTTCATCCATCCCCCCTTCATCCATCCCCACTGGCTCACGGCGCATTCCGTGTCCCGGCTCTCTCCTGCAGCCTGGTGCTTGGCGCCGGCGACCCAGGTGGTGGAGGTGATTTCTTCAGAGAATGCTCTCCTGACCTGTACAATCCCCTGGAACCCTCAGACCCCTTACACAATGATCTTCTGGGATAAGGTAAGCAAAGACTGAAGCAGGAGCAGTCCTTCTTGTTTGGGGGCGTTGGGTCAATGGGCTTGAGCAGGGAGAACTTAGCTTCTGAGGTGTTTCATGCCTTTCGGAGAGTGACCCAGTGAGAGCAAAGGGGACAGAAGATATCCTGAAGCTCCTAGATAGTTCAGAGAACACGCCCTCAACCCCCAAGGCTCACTGTCAGTCCGCCAGGCTCAGAGAGGGGGATCCTTCCACACACCACCCAAGGCTTGACTCTTCAGTGTTGCTCTCCTCCGACTATAAAAGCCCACCGCCTGAGAGCGAATCTAAAATCAGAATCCTTTCTTTCTCTTCTCCCCCCCCCCTTCCAACCCGGATTAACTTCAGGAGTATTTATGACTCCTCAAAACCAAAAGGTCCCCAAGGTCAGAAATAATGGTCCATTTGGAACTTGAAAATATGAAATAGTTTCATATTCCTATAATATTGTGCCTGGGACATATGTATGTATATATGTACACATATGTGTATGTGTGTGTATATATATGTATATACACATATATATTATACATAATATATATTATACCTAATATATGTATGTGTGTATACACACACATACACACACACACACACACATACACACACATATGAGAAACCAAGTGTTGAAACCTGTTTTTTTAGTTCCTCAAACTGTCAACTTTCAATTATTCACTTTATGGATTACCCATTGCCTCTGGCCATTCTCTGGTGAGGCTGACAACCAGACCCAGAACAGTTAAACTGGGGAATCCTTGAACGTATGTCCTCTGTCTGTGGGTGTACAGGTGTACAGAACAGACGTAACTTTCCTCATCTGAAAATGGAGGAGTTTGATTAGATATTCTCTAGGTTCCAACCAACTAACATTTTCTGTTTGGAAGAGGTTACCTGATTATATTCCCCAAATGAAATATAAATTAATTTTTGGCATTAGATAGCAGCAGCAGTTAAGTTCTGAAAGAAACATGATGCCCTAGGCTCTCTTTTTATGCCCATCACTGATTTGCTGTAGGAACTTAAGAGAAATTAGTCATCTACAAAATTGAGAAATGTATACCACCCACATCATAGCGATTGCTAAAAGAGAGCTTAATGTCTGTCTTTCATTAACCACTTATTTTATATATATTACATATACATATATACATATTATATACATACACACATACTATTATATATATATACATATATCCCTATATTAATAGTTCTCTATTTAAAACATTTTATAATTTTTGATGCCTTTATTTTTAAATCATCAACTTCTGAGTATATCCCTTTCCCTTCCCCCCTTAAGCCATCCCTTTTGATAAAGATTTCAAAGAGAAAAAAAACTAGCTAGCACATCTTTCATGTCCGATAGGGTATGCAATATTACACATCCATAGCCCCCCCCCCCTGCAATGAAAGGAGGAAGGTGCTAATTCTCTTTTTATGTGTATAAGGCTTGTTTCCTTAACTAAACTGTGTTCCCTAAGGGCAGGGGACTGTATCTTATACTTCTTTAGCATCCTTCAATGTTGGGGGAGGGGTCCTCTGTTAATGTTTGGTTTTTAGTTGATGTGAACATCAAGTGGAGAGGATGCTAGATCATCATAAAACTCTACATAAATTGGCAGAAGGGAGTCCTGAGATTGCTTGGTTCAGCTGTACCCAAAGAACAAATCCTGTTTGTGATAGCCAAGATGAGGTCATCCAGCTTTTTTCCAAAGACTTCTGGTCACAAGAAACTTACTGCTTTGTGGGGCATTTCATTCCATTTTTGGACAGCTCTGATAGAGGGGAGAGAGGTGAAAGGGAAGAGAAGAAGCACTTGTATAGTGACTTCTATGTGCTAGGCACTGTGCTCAGCACCCTACAAATGTTATCTCATTTGATTCTTACAACAACTCGGAGGTAGATGCTGTTATTATCCCTATTTTACAGTTGAGGAAACTGAGGCACACAGAGATTAAATGATTTGCCCAAGTCACATGATTAATAAGTATCTGAGGCAAGATCTGAACTCAAGTCTTCCTGATTTCAGGCCCAGAGCTCTTGTCCCCTGCTTACCAGCCTCAACCTTATATTTAATTAAGTGGAATTCAAAAGCCATTCAGTAAGTGCCTATCACTGTGTACCAGGTACTTGAGATGCAATGACAGAAATGAAAACAGTCCCTGCCCTTAATGAGCTTAAGTTTCATTGGATGGAAATACAAATAAGTTAATATAATATAAAGCCCTAAGAAATGGGGAGTGAGAAAGGGCAGGGATAGAGGATTTATTTAACAGTTTGGAGAATCAATCAAATTTACCTCCCTGTAACTTCATCCATTGTTTCTAGCTTTATTCATCAGACCATGTCTCAAGTCTTTCAGATATTTGAAGACAGCTACCATATGTAACAGAAAGAGCATTGCATTTGGAATCACAAGGCCTGGATTCAAATTTCAACTTTTTTATTTACTCGTTTGCACAGGTGATGCTTCCAATGCCCAGACTGCACTCCCTTGATGTTACCTATTGAAATATTTTCCTTTTTAGCCTAGATCAGGTACCACTCCCTTCATGAAGCCTTCCCCAATTCCCTCCACTAGAAAATGGTCTCTTTCCTCTCAAATTTCTTTTAGAAATGAAACAAGCATCTATTAAGTTCCTACTATGTGCTAGGCACTGTGCTGAGTACTTTATGAACATCTCATTTTATCTTCACAACAACTTTAGGAGGTAGATGCCCCATTGTCCATTAACCCATTTTCTATTTGAAGAAACTGAATCAGGCAAAGTTTAAGTGACTTACTCAGGGTCACACAGCTAGTAAGTATCTGAGGCTGGATTTGAATTCCAGGCCCAGTGCTGTATCTACAGTGCCACCTAGCTGCCTGTAGCATTTTTCTCTAGATCATGGACATTCTTTCTTCCTTGGTAATTATTTGTGCACGTATTACTTATCCCTGCCCCCAAATTATATTATAAACCCCTTAAAGTCATGGACAATGTTGCTTTTCATCTTCGTATCTCAGGTTTTTTATATAGTTAAAGTATAAAAAAACATTGAATTGAATGTTCCCCAGGCTAAACATTCTGAATTCTCTCAACCAGTCCTCAAATGGCAAGGTTTTATACCCCTTCACCATCCTAGCTATCTGCTTCTGGCTCTGTTCTAATTTACCAGTGTCAAAGCATCCTCCATTCAGTCACTCACATAATTTTCCTAAAGCTCAGTTCTGATCATGTCATCCCCCCACACTCAATAAACCTCAGTGGCTCCCCATCGCCTCCAAAATCCTCTGGCATTCAAAGCCCTTCATAACCTAGCCCCTCTTACCCTTCCAGTCTTCTTACACCTTACTCCCTAACACGTACTCTTCAGTCCAGTGACACTGGCCTCCTGGCTGTTCCCAAAGAAGGCATTCCATCCTTCAGCTCAGGACATTTTCTCTGGCTATCCCTCATGCCTCCAATGTTCTCCTTTCTCTGCTTTGCCTACTGACCTCCCTGCCTTCCATTAATCCCAACTAAAATCCCATCTTTTACTGGACCTTTCCCAATCCCTCTTAATTCTAGTGCCTTCCTTCTGTTATTTCCTATTAATCCTGTATAGCTTACTTTGTATATATTTGTTTGTGTGTTATCACCCCCATTAAATTATGAGCTTCCTTGGGGCAGGGACTGCCTTTTTTTCTTTTTTTATATCCCTAGCACTTAGCATAGTGCCTGGCACATCAAAGGTATTTAATAAATGTTGATTGATTGATTGATTGATTGATTGATTTCCTAAGGTGTGGTGCCTAGGACTGGATAAAATATTTCAAATTTTGTCTGACTAATAATAAATTTCACTTATATAGTGCTTTAAGGTTTGCAAAGAACTTTACATATGTTACGTTATGTATTCCTCACAGCACCCCAGGAAGTAGATGCGATTTTATCAGATGAGGAGACTGAATGAGTTGCCCAGGGTCATACAGCTGGTAATCTGAGGCAAGATTCAAATTCAAGTCATCTTAACTTCATATCCTTCACTCAGTCCACTAAGCCCCCTAGCTGCCATGACTAGGGAAAAGTACAGCAGTAAGGTCACCTCTCAGTATAAAAACAGAAGTAATTTTTTCTCATTTAGTCATTAATCATCTGAAATATAGCAAATATATTTTTATTCTCCATAATCCCTCAGCCAGCTTTATTCTTGATACCTCTGTATTTTCTTCCTTAATTACTTAAGGGAAGAACCCCCCACCAAAAACAAAACAAAACAAAACAAAACAACAACACAACAATCTAATAGCTCTGAGCTAGACAGATGTGGAATTAAATTATCATTAAAAGAGGGGTAGATGTGATGAGAACCTACCACCCTCTCCAAAGGGTAATCAGCAAGCAATACACAAATCCCCAAGGGTGTAATTAAAAAATACTTCATGTAATAAGTGGAAGAATTTTTAGACTATAGAGTTCCAGCTGCTGTTAAGTCCAATCTTTTTGTATTAGGTCATTTGGAATGATGTGGTAAACCTTAGTCGTTAACCTTTGCCTCTTATGGGCCTTTAACTGAGGCTCTACACCCCACAGCTGTGGATGGTTGTTTTTATAGATGTATTCCTTGCATTATTTACTCTGCAGGAAATCTTAGGACTTTATCTTTCCTCATTTTCAGCCACTGCTGAACATTTTCCTTTGTCTGTTGTCTGTGAAACCAGGCCATTTAAAATCAAACTTGAGTTTTATTAAAACAACGACAACAACCTATTGAGTCTTGGGATTCAAAGGAGTTATCGCTATGGCAATAAGCCAATCAGAGATAGCTAAAGTGATATTTATTAGACTTTTCAATAGTTCTACCAGGTTTGGGCGCATCCTGCAGATATTTGTGATTTTCCAGCCCAATAATTTTATGTTTGTATTGATTGTATTTGTGCCGCAGAGAAGAAAGCGGTGTTTTGGGGGAGGGAGAAGGAAGGAGGGAAGGCCTGTGGTGAAATGTTACTTTACAGAAGAGAAAACCTT